GAACAAGACAGTCAGCAATAAAAGAAGCTGCTTACTTTAAAAAAAAAAGTGGCTTGAAACATTAAAAAGAAGGTGAATAAACAATTTTTTAAATGAAGGAAGGAGATTTATTTTGGCCAATAAATCAAGCATATATTCTGTATTTCTGAAACTATCTAATTAATAACAAACAATAATCAAACTTCTTTGACAATGGATATTACTTAAAAACAGCAGGGCTATGGTTTGCAGTTAACCCACAGGGAAACTCAGCCCCTGGCATGGCAGTGTTGAGGTGGTAGATAAGAGGTGGGAGACAGTGATAGATCACTGATCGGAGGCTTCCTGTCTCTGGATACGTATTCTCCATTCCACTTGGGCCCCATTCTTTGGACACAATCTGCCCTACTCACCATGGGTGGAATTAATGCCATTCTCCTCCTATCCAATTGTAGACATTAGCTGCAGAGCTGCTAAATAACATTTTTTCTTTATAAAGTTAACCTTCCTCAGGGATGTTGTTATAGTAACAGAAAACACACTAATGTAAGTAGAATATCAAATGTAACAATGAGGTAACAGGGCAATTTTGGTTCCTAAAGTTGAACTAGAAGAAAAAATTATTAGAAATACAAAAAACCTTATTTTCTTGCTTCAATTTAAAAACTATTAGTAGCATTTAAGGTACCTGATTCACTGTTATTCATTTAAAAATAGATTTGGGTACAAAATAAAAAATAGAAGTAAACAAATATAAGCATAGGACAATATCAGCAATTCAAAAAGGGTGTCAGAACAAAAAATACTGAAGACTTTCTGGAAAATAAAGCAACATGGTTGCCAGATATAAGGTGAATACCTAGAAACCTATTGGATTTTCATTAAAAAAGAAATGAATCTTAAATTTTGAAAAGATACTACTTATTATAATGGCCACAAAAACATAAGAAAACTGATCAATTAACCCTATAAGAGATCAATAAAACCTTTCATAGCAAACATACATAAAACGCATTCAATGACATCTAAGAAGGTATACATAAATGAAGAGCCAAGAGATAGTCATAGGAAGATTTAAATTTTTAAAGATGTTCATTTTTCCCAGGATAATGTATAAATTCAATAATGGAAGATTTTTGGTGAAATTCATAAGAACAAGATGAGGAAAAATTACATAAAACAATGTTTTAAAAGAACAGCAAGAGGGGCATGGGAGTTTAGAGAAATGTTAGCCAAAGAAGAAATAGACTCCATGATAGTTAACTGCTGGGTCAGCCTGAATAAGAAGCTCCCCATTGGATTAGCATAGCTGTGAGTTATGATTGAATGGATTTACTGAAGGCAGAAGACCCACCCTGGGTGTGAGTGGCACTGACCAATAGGCTTGTGGACTGGCTGGAATAAGTGAGTGGCACTGACCAATTGGCTTGTGGACTGGTTGGAATAAGTGAGTGGCACCGACCAATGGGCTTATGGACTGGTTGGAATAAGTGAGTGGCACTGACCAATGGGCTTGTGGACTGGATGGAATAAAAGAGATAGCAAAAGGAAAGCAACTTCTGTCCATCTGCCACATCATGAACTGTTTCTCCTCTGCCATCTCCCTCAGCCATGCTGCCCAGGCTTGCAGCCAGCTGATTGTGGACTGAAAGCTGTTCAAACTGAGCCAGAAAAGACCTGTCCTCTTTTAATTTATGGGTGTTAGGTATTTTGTCCCAGCAATGATCTATCCTTTATACAACATGGTCACCAGTTAGTGACAATGTATTCTATTCTGCAAATGGCTCCAAGTGGGTTTTAATTGTTCCAATAAAAAAATAAATATGTGAGGTAATGTGTATGTTAATTAGCTTAATAAAACCACTTCATAATGTCCACATTCTAAAACATGTGGCAATGATAAATATATACATTTTATTTGTCAATTAAAAACTCACAAATACATAAACAAAAAAGGTAAACAAGCTTTTTCAAATAAGACTTTTAAAGCAAAAAAATAACCCTCCAAACAAGTCCACAGAAATGCCTATGCAAATATGAAAGTTTTATAAATGACAGAACTGGATTCCACATAATCCATCACAGTAAAATACAAACTTATATTTTAGGAGTTATCTTTAAAGCTAATCTAGCAAAATTTACATATTTCTAATGTTTAATCATATACTGATAATATCAAGGATTATAATTTGATCCTGAAGAAAATTTTATTATGAAAAGATGTTTGAAAACAAAGAACTAAAATTTTATTCATTTAAATTTTTGTAGTGAAATGGTAGGTGGCTTTTTTTTTTTTTTTTTTTTTTTTCTTTGTTTTTATTTTGTCTTTTTGATACAGGGTCCTGCTATACAGTTCCGGCTGGCCTTGAACTCACTTCGTAGCCCAGGCTGGTCTGTCCAAGGGTCCTCATGCCTTGCCTCAGCCTCCTGAGTGCTGGCATTAAGGGCATGCACCACCACAGCCAGCCTCTAGTGAAAGGGTAGAATAATCACAAAGGTAACATTCTAGGACTAAATGGAATAGAAATAAGAACTAATAAAGGACTTTTGGAGACAGAAAAAGTTTACTCATGAACTTTCTTTAAAAATTATGTAGTATTGAAAGTCTACTGTATATTTTTAAAAGTTATATAACAATTTTCTTATTAAAAAAAGAAAAATAATTATAATCTTGGAAATAAAACCAAAACACCAACCAAAAGAATGCTAGTATAACTACACTGTAAGGCTAAGTTGAAAAAGCCAGAAACTTTTAAAGATAAAAAGATTCAATATCTTGTAAGGCTATAATAATTCAAAAATTATTTATCCATACCTAATAATACAGTCTCACGACTTGGGAAACAAAATTAACAAAACTGACAACAAAAAAATGTTGAAAGTGAATAAAGAAATAGAAAACTTGAAAACATGATTAACAGCCTGAATCTAACAGGCATATGGGAACCACTGTGCTTCACACTTGCAGAATATGCATGCATTTCAACAGAGAGGGAATAATTTATTATAAGCATAATTTATATGGTCAAATAATTAATATCATATAGTGTACATCTCTAACCACAGTAGAATCACACTAAATGTAAAAATCCAAAAGGGAACAATACAACTATAAATTCTCTAAAACTTAAACAAGATCAAAATATGGGTCAAAGAAATAACCATATAGAAATACTACATATTAAACTATGGCTTATCAAAATTTATGGGTGGCGTTACCATGTAAAAATTTATTGTGTGATATATTTTAAAAATCAGATCAAAGATCTAAAAGAATTCATGTTAATTTTTGATAAATTCAGTATCTTGATAAAGCAAAAATTTTTCTAGGAAGATACATATTAACAAACGTGAAAGAAAAGGACATAATTTGAGCAGGATAATAACCATACCTCATTAATTAAAAAGTAGGAAAAATCTCTTCTTCTAAAACAATCTGAGCTGAGACTGACAGATCAATATTTTTAAATTTCAAAAACAAAAACCAGATAAAGCTTCTATTATTCAAATTTTTCCAGAGAAATGAAAATAAGAAAAGTTAAGAAGTATAATGATCCAATAATTATAAAACTTATTTTAGGCTGTTTTGCTACTCCTCTTTATCAGGATTCAAAACAAGTAAAATTTTTAAAAGAAAAGATTTAATTAATTTTGAATGTCTATCTAGAAACATGCAAGAAAAACAATCATAGAATGATTGAACAAGGGAATCAGGTACGAGGGTTTCATTCAACATAAGCATCCTACAAATTGTTATCTTTACTAATAAATTCAAAATGTAATAATGAAAATAAAAATATCATTTTCATCATGAATGTGGTATACTTAGCGATTAAGAGAAAATATGAAAGACATATATGGAGCAAGTTATAATTTTCTCTTGTAAAAAAAGATCTAAATGAACAGAAATGCCACATTCAATTGTTTCCAAACCATTCTCTAAGTGCAATGCAATTTTAATAAAAAGGTCTCATGAATTATTATTATTATGGCAAAATAATTCTAAGAATCATTTAGAATATTAAAACCAAGAAGTTAAGAAAAGAAATGAAGATTTTTTAACATGATAATTTATGATGAATCTAGTATATCAAGCTATAGTAACTGAAATAATAATGCATGGAAGATATAAATGGATCCATGAGTACAGTGGTAGTCTAGAAACACCTGTACATCTAGACAAAAATTTAGCATAAGACAGTTTACATTTCAAGTCAAAGGAAGAATGGGTAGTTAAATAAATGATACCAGCACAAGGAGGATAAGTAGTCATACATGCACAAACAAGAATACATTTTAGCAAATTAAATATGTAAGTCACACATAAATTGGGAAGCAGATCTTCCTTAAATAATACAGTACCAAAAATCCATAATAAAGAGGAGGGAAAGATTTGACAACATAAATGTCAAAGTTCTGATGAAGAAATAAATGATTTATGAAGTTACTAAACTTCAAAATCCCACTTTCCATAAAATATATAAACAATTTATGTTGTTAAAAGGGCAAAGAGTAGTTGCCCTAATTTTAGGAGCAAGGGGGGTTGTAGCTAGTAACTGAAAATGAATAGGGTGTAGACTATCACAGTCCTGGTATATAGCTGTTTAATATTATCTTTTCTGAGACTGGTTCAGACTGTAATATTTTACAGGCTATACTCTCATGACATGAGGACATTACAGTGAGTTCAAACACATTAGAATAGACACATACAAAGCACTTTTGTGCCTAGCTAACTAGTCATGCTCTGCATTCTTCCCTATAACAAACTGCTGATACTGGTGATTTTTAGAGCAGGGGCTAGAACAGGGAGCTAAAAAGGGTGAAGGCTGAAAATAATCAAAATGAACTCTTACCTTTGTGTTTAACTGTAGTTTTTAATTTAACCATGGAGCATGTGCTATTCATACATTTTTTTTAAAAAGCAGTAAAAAATTTTAAAAAGCCTATATATGTGATCCCTATCATTTAAGACTTATAATTTATGTTTAATTAAGACAATTATACAGGGCATACTCTACCTGTGAATCTAACAGATTGGAAATTTCTTGTACACCAACATTTACTTCATCCAATTGCAAGCAAAACAAATTTCTGGCAACCTGGACAAAATCTAAAATGAACACATTTCAGTAAAGAACACAACATTTAACCTCATCGCAATAACTTCTTTTTCTGTGTGACACTAAAGCAGTGTTATTAATGATTCAAATTTAATTTACATGAATTAGGTTAAAATAATACTGACTGAAGTAACAGGGAAGTATAAGCTCAAATAAGAACTTGGTTTTATCTTACTTTAGTTAACTTTGTTGGAGTTAATAAGTCAATTAAGATAATGATAAGGCAAACACACACGTCATATGTTATGGTTTGTGTCCAGATGTCCCTCCAAAGCCTCGTATAGTCACGGAGTTTTATTGGAGGTGGCTGAATCTAAAACATGTGACTGATTCCTGGTGCAGCGCTGGGATTAAAGGTGAATGATTGCGGGAGCAATCCCATTAGGGTACCGCCCCAATCCTTGTAGTCTCCATAAGGGCAGAAAGATGCTGTTAAGCCCTCTGCTTGTTGCTCTTGTCTTCTTCCTGTCAAGAACTGTTTCCCTTCTGGGATGCCCCTCTGCCAAGCCAAGATGCCTTGTAACCAGCTGATTATGGACTGAAACTCCTACAAACTGTAAGTCAACAAATCTTTCCCCCTTTAATTATAGGCGTCAGGTCTCAGCAATCCAAAAAAGTAACTCTGACATCATATATATTTATTCTCCATCATGTATATTTATTCTCTACTTGTACTACAAGTAGAACTTTCTCTGAAATAGGACAATATTATGATTTTTGGCTTTTCCACCTGAAAGAATGTGATGTTTACTAAGAACAGCAGCTGCTGATATTTAAGTAGCAGCTATTATATGCCAGGCATGTTGCTTAGCAATTTTTTCTGTAGCAATCTTCTGAGGGAGGTCCTTGTTTTCTCTCCACTTTATAGATGAATATATAACTATCTTAGGTTGGCCAAAGCCACTTGGTAAATAAGCAGCAGCTTCTTTAGATACCATGACTGACAAATCCTCTGGGCATTCTTAAGTATTTTGAATTTTAGCTATTATATTTTTAATTTCCAAGGATCCTTTCAAGTTTCCCCTGATTGTTCCTATTTTATAACTTCATGCTGTTATTTCATGAATGCATTTTGCTGGGAATATAGCTCAGCAGTATAAGTGCCTGTCTGGCAAGTGTAAGGTCCTGAGTTCAATTCCCAGTAAAAAGAAAAAAAAAAAGTGAAGAAGTTTAAGCATGAATGCATTTATTATCTTGATTTATCTTCTTAAAGATGTTAACTATAGTTTTTCTGAAGGTCTCTTTGCCTCTTTATCATTCTTTTTTTGTCTGAGGTCTTTTTTATGTATATCTGGTACTTGTGGGCTATATAACTTATGTTGGAGGATTTCCCCACATATGTGGTAACCCTTGGCTGTAAATTTATAATTAAGATTCAGATTCAGTCGCTAAAAAAGTTAGTTGGTTGATTACCGATACTGGTTGGTACCCCAAAAAAAAAGAAAAAAGAAAAAACAGTTTGCTGGAAATTCTGCGTACAGAACTTGCCTTATGAAATGGCAGATTAAATGATAGGGCAGTCCGCTGCATCAGTTGACATTTTGTTCAGCTTCTTTCCAGCGAATCCTACACCCTCCCGCCTATGATCATAGATATGGCTGCAGATTTCACTGAGCAATATGGTGTATGTGAGGAGCACTGACTCACTGTACACTCCCCCAGCTCTCTCGCTGCTAGCAACTCTGCATCCATACTCCCGTGGTTTAACTTCTAAGGAAAGAGACTTCTTTTCCCAGGAGGTGTAAGGGAGTGGTAGGTGCAGGACTGCTTGAGAAGGGGCAGGGGAATAAGAGCATGCATAATTCTCCTTGGAAACACTGCTAAAAATTATTTCATGTCATATGTGCTGCCTAAGCCTAGGCTTTTGAAATGTGCTTCATTCCCAAAGGCCAGCCAGCTTGTTCCCTGTAGTAATTTTCCGAAGTCTTTCTTTACAGGCCTCTGCTCATTGACTCACCTACTGGATTTTCTTATCTACTTTCTGTCCTTAAATACTGTGCTTTGTTGATGCAGATATTCTGTTTGGTGCTCTTACCATTTTGGCATGATTTTCACTCACTAACACACTAAAATGTGAATTTTTTAAAAATAGTACAGGTATTACAACAATGATACAATACTACAGCTGTTATATAAGAAAAAAATACAACAATGCTGTCAAGGAGAGAAAACATTGTTCCATTCAAATACTACTTGAGGCAGAATGAACAAATGTGTAAAATATCTCTGCAAAAGGTTTTATCAATATGTACCAAAAGTCCATTGTGAGGATTTATCCTAAGGAACAAAAACAGTTTCATTAAAAAATATACAGATTTATAATTAAATAAATAAGATAAACTATCATATTTATTTATAAATAAATAAATATGATAATATGATAATAAACATAAGATTTGTAATATCAGCCACCAAGAAACCATTAAAATTGCTGTCAAAGGTTAAATATTAATTTACATGGAACGTTATGCTGCTTCTAAGAATAATTATATAGCACTACACTAATATTTGTATTAGCTGAAAAAAAGGAACCAGAAGTAACCTCACAGCAGTGAGATTAGGACTTCAATATTTTATACTATTTATTACTAAAGCAATGCTAATGTAATAAATAAAAAAGAATCTGCTACAGCAATGATGCTTTAGAGCTGAAAGGTTCCAATAAAGTGGTCCTTTCTGCCGACCCAGCCAGGCTAGCTCCTCTAGTTCAGCTTTGAGAGTACTAATCAGGAACTTGAAGAACATGTGTTTTAACCTCTTGTTTTTCTGGCAAAGAACAGGTACTCCTAATGAAAACGGGTCACAATAAATCTCTCACCGAGTTTCTGTGACAGCATAACATCATGAGCCTAGCATTACCTCCAAAAGACACTGTCCCCTTTGAATCTGTCTGTACTTGCTGTCGCAGGGCTTGGTGCTGGTCCTCTGTGGGCTCAATACCAAGGTATTTTAGAGCCTGGAAGGAAAAGCACTCGTGACAATCAATTTTTTTTTAAATTGCCAAAGAATAAATCTTTTCTTTCAAACTCAGTGAGGAAAAAAAAAAACTCAACATTAAGAACAGTAACCAGAATTAGATGCCCAAGGAGACTCTACCGACCGCTGATGGATCAAGTGACCATAAGAGACTTCCTCAGCATTCCACCATCACTCAATATTTTTTTTCTAAGCTAGTATATAGTTCTAGAACCAAAAGTCAAACTGTTTCTTAGTTTACTTGACTTGGCAGAAGAAAAACAAGGGAGTCCTGTTAAAGTCAGACTTACAAGTTACACTCAAAAATACGAATAGTTTTTGGTTATTACCCTACCTTTGAAAACAAATGTGAAGTTGACAGGAGTTGACTTAAGTAGGAAATATTATAATTTTTGGTTTATTTGGAAGCAGGCTTACACACATACTACACATACCCTCAAGCCCCCACTTGTCTTCATCGGGTGCTCTGATTATGGGTAAGGTGCCCATTCATCAGTGAAAGCTCCAAGGCTACCAGCTGTGTTCCACTGTTCATCCTCTCTTTGCCACAGAACCAACAAGTTTTCAGCTGGAAATGCTGCCATTCCAGGAAGCCTATTTCAAAAGTAATGCTATGCACTCCTATTCTCTTTTCCTTCTATCTATTGGCTTAGTAAGAGGGAGAGGAAGTTACAGAAGAGGAAGAGAGGGAGAAATAAAAGAAAAGCATTGCTGGAATTTGAGCTGAAACTTTGATTTATTAAGGTACCTCAATAAAGATGGTCCCTGCTCCAGCGACTGAAATGTAGGTCCTCGACTCTGTGCCAGCTCTGGATTACTATTTTTCAGGCTTCTTTTTGTGTAAGAAATAAACTTCTAATGCAAACAAGTATTATTTTGTGTCCTCTAGCTAGAGACAGCAAAAGTGAATGCATAGGGACCAATGAGATGCCCTATTACTGGATTCCAAGAAGAATATATACAGTGTCAGTCAATCACATCCGAACTTAGAGATAGGGAAAGTTTATTATTGGTAATTAACTCTTGCAATTTTCATTCTCATTTGGAATATGTGTAGTCATTCATCATTCCATTCACCAAATATTTATTTGGTACTTCCTATTGGTCAGGCACAAATTTATTTATAATGGATTAGGCAAGTGGCGTAATCTATAGTCCCTACACTCAGAGAGAGTCTATGGGGTATATAGCCTAGTAACACAAGTGCAAAGTCCTGAGTTTGATTACTAGTACCAAAAAAAAGTTTGTGGTCTGTAGTGTGAGAATAACATTAGTTATGGTAATTAAATATGTAACTTAATACAACTTTGCACAAGATACAGTATAGCAAAAAAAAAAAAAAAAAAAAAACAAAAAACCTACTGGTTAATGTACAGGAATGTAACTGGGCACCGTGAAAGAAAGAGATAGGGACAATATCAAGAAACATAAAGTTTCTTAAGCTTAGTTTACCATCATCTGCTTGCTCTGTCAAAATCAAGATTTATTGATCTTGTATCACATGGAATAGTAATTTTTAGCTTCTGTGTTTTTTCTTCTAAAAATGGCCCAAATATGAAAAGCAGAATAATTCAAAGAATGTCCATTTATTGACTCTTATTATAGGCAGCTAAGTTAGAAATAAATATATAGTCGGAGAGGGGCTGAGGCCTCAGGAAAGTCAGCAGAAAATAAAGACATCAGAATTGTGGCTGGAGGGACACAGAAAAAGGCCAGGGTTCGAGATACAAATGCATTATCTCCCAAGGATAAGCAGGAAGTTGAAACTATACTGTAACTAGCATCACTTGGTCCAGGAAGTTCAGGTAGGCATCTGTTGCACAGGTGGTGGCCAGGGTATCTGGATCCACCCCTTTTCAAAAACACCTTTGTTCTTCCCATGTACCCTTCCCTTTTTCCCTGTACCCTCACTTCCCTTTTGGATCAATATTAGCTAAGCAGCTATACCTGTAATCCCATAGGTTGAGTGTAGTTTGACCCACGCTGTATGTGCATTGTGACTTTGCTGTATTAACTACCCCTGACCAAGGGCCTCAGTGACAGTCCACTTTGGGGACTCTCCTGTCTCTCAGGAGCTCTCTCTCAATAAAGCTTTCCTACTTTTAGCCTCCACTGTCCCTCAGAAATTACTCTTAGCTATTTCAGGGACACAAACTTGGCACATCTGACATCTAGAAGGTTGAGACTTATACTCCCATGCCACTCATCAAATACACATTGCTATTTGCTTGAAATTTATATACAAATTTAAAAAAAACAAAAGTTACAGATTCAGTTGAAAGTTTTCTCCAGTATTCTTTAGCAATAAATATTATCCTCAGGGTAGTATATTCTTGCTGCCCATAATTTGATGTTATTTATTTTATAAGCATGTATACCCTCAATGATGTGCATTCTAATCCTGTACACTTAAAATTTTACATGAACAACATAATCTAAAAGGATAACTCAGGGCCAAGGATATTGCTCGGTGGCACAGTGCCTGCCTGATAAGTGCGGGTTCTGAGTTTGATTCCTGGTACCCTCCCCACCAAAAAAAATATAATAATAATAAAGAAAAAGTAAGTCTTTTTACTTCACTTTATGATTTTACAACTGTTCAATATTATCTGCAAAACTAGTTCACTTATTTTAACTATAAATGATACCTGATTATATGGGTATATTATAACATGTTTACAATTTTCTGATTGATGGGCTTTCACAATTCCTTGAATCAGTTTTTTTAATAACAAAACATTATACACGTCTTCTTTTATAGTTGCATGAAGATTTCTTGATTTCTCTATAGTACAGAATATCCTTCAAAAAGGAAGAGTTGAGTGATGGAGTGATACACATTGTGAACTTATTAGACGTGGTTGGGTTTTTCTCTACATCAGTTGTACCCGTCTATGTATACCAATAGTATATAAACATTCTTATTTAACAGAATTTGTTTTTACACTTTCATTTTTTATCAAATGTTGAATGTGAAATAGTATGTTGTTAATTTGAATTTTCCAAATTACAATTGAGATTAAACATCTATATTTATTAGTGGCACTCTTGACTCATGAGTCATTTAGAAATATGTTTAAAATTTTCAAATGTAGAGTTTTAAAGATGTATCTTTTGTTACTGATTAGAAATCTGGAGGCAATGTTCTAGTATTTATAACCAAAACTGTTTCTAGATACTGCCAGCTCTCCCAAGAAGAACACATGACTCTAGTCCTTTTTTTTTGTCTTTTTTTAATTGGTACCAGGGATTGAACTCACGACCACACACTTGCAAGGCAGGTGCTTATGCAATCTCTTATAATTAGCTAAGTCAGGACAAAAGAGGTGGAATTGGGCCAGCAGTTGAATAACAGATAAGATTCAAATTTGCAATGAGAACGATAACACCATAGGACCAAGAAAGGTAGAGACATGAAATAAGTGCAAGGTGTCTTTATCCTGGCTATGGAATTTTATTTTATTTTATTTATTTATTTATTTATTTGTACCAAGGATCAAACTCACAACCTCGCGCTTGCCAGGCAGGTGCTTATGCACTGAGCTACATCTCCAGCAATTTCAGATTCTTTCTAAAATGTAGAAAAACATTACTCATAAAAGTTCACAGGAAGGTAGAGATTATTGCTCTCCAGGAATAAATCCATTTTACATTAAAAAAAAAAACCTGATGAGAAATTTTAAAGCATGCTGCCACCTTTAATTTTTCTTTTCACATCATTGTAAGTTTCGTTTACGTAAGATCTCTCTGGGACTGTTTCTTGGTGCTGAGTACACTGTTCCAGTTTTTTTTTTTTTTTTTTTTTAATCTATTTATTTCTTAAAAATTTTTTGAGACAGAGCCTCGGTTTGTAGTTCAGGCTGGCTTCGAACTCACTATGTAGCACAGGCTGCCCTTGTATGACTGGTGATTTTCCTGGCTCAGTCTCCAAAGGGCTGGAATTACAGGTTTGTGTCACCCTATCTGGATTTTTTTAGATTTAGTGGGCACCTGACTTTTTATTCTTTAGGATTTAGAAATCCTATACTTTTTGAAAAATTGAGCAAATGAATCAAGTATTATTTCATTGCATTTACTGCTCTTATACACAAAGCCTAATGTATGCTGGCTTAACTCATTCCACTGGGTCTAGATTGCAAATATCATTTATGTCTTATTGCCAGAGAGAAAGAAAAACTGATTTGTCTGCGTGTCAATTTAGCTACAAAAGGTTTTACTTCTATTTGGGACCACTGAACCCTAGGAGCTGCTAAATTGAAACAGTAATTAAATAATTTAAATCCTAACTGCTATTCATTTAATTGTAAATAAGTAGGAAACTGACTCTAGCACTTTCTCCTCTCAGAATATGAGACTGCTTCTTTCCTGTTATTGCCCTACGAAGAAAAATGAAAACTGAAGGAATTTACCATTTCCAGTTTCTCTGCCTTAAGGCGAACAGAAGGATTTAGGGAAATCTTCTTTCCTCGTGGTCCATAATTATCAGTGCGGGCAGGAGCGAGATCTAAAAGACAACAGGGTGCTCATTAATTGGAGACTTAATTGGGTTAGAACTTTTCATTTGACAGGATGTGCTTTGGCCTCCTGCTGTTCAAAAGTAATTCTCGTTAATCAGTTGGCAGTTTTCACTTTTGTTTTCATGATTTTTTTTTTTTTTTTTTTTTTTTTTTGCTGTAGGCTTAATATGTACCACCACATAAATCAGCTTTACTTGAGCTCTACAAGATACATAAAAAGAGTATCCAATTATCCACCATGGAAGTCTATGGAAATAATAACCTGAAAGACAAATACACATCTTACGACTATGACCACCATCATAATAACTTATTCCCCTTTTTGTTAAAAAAAAAAAAAAAAAGTAAAATTGTATCAAAGATTCAAAAAGATCCATGATTTTGTTGTGTGAATTTTGGAAAGGTTCTGGAAAAATTCATAAATGAAAATCACCTTAAATTTGTAGATAAAGTATGATATAGACAGAGAACTTTTTGAGCTAAAAATCTTGTCTCCTTTTATAGAAGGGCAAGTAACATACAGAGACTTTGAAGAGAATAACATACCTCTTGCCTATTTTCCTATACCTTTTCGGTGTATGACCTGAACACGTACGTAGGGCCTTTGTCCTTGTTGCAGGAATAAGAAATTGGGAGGCACAAGAGGCTAGAGCTTAAAAAATTATTTGTTTCAATGTGCCAAAGTTTGTGAAACAAATTTCTATAATTTATGTCAATCCTTGCCATCTAAATTGTCACTATTCTAAATACACTCTTAAATGGTATTTTACTAGTTCTACATAGAAACAAGAGGAAGAGAAAAACTTTTTAAAATGTCACATCTTTATGCAGTGTTTTAATTTTTTTATTTCTCAGAGCATCTGTCTCTAAGTACAAAATGATTTGCATTCTCTTTCTTAAGAACATAAGAAGCGCATATGAAAATAAATAGTCTTCCTCTAAACCTTTAACACATCCTCAACATTCTATGTAAAATCTTTAATATAGCTTATAGGTGTCAAGATTATAAAAAAAAAATGGTTACTGACTTTTAGCTCCAAGTGAAATTAAACCTTGAGAAAGATTGGGTTTAGTATAACCGAATCTATAATTCTGGTAAAAGCAAGAAACTCTCCTCTGTTATTATGACACCTAATTGTGGACCAAGGGATAAAAAATATTTTTTTCTCTTAGAAGCAGTTCTATAGTGAACCCAAAGCTTGGCATAAAAGATCACTGAAATGGTATGGAAGACCAAACCATGGATTATTCTTCATCTTGTGAGACTTGACTTCTAGTTTGGAGTTTGCCCTGACATTAATGGACACAAACATTAGAGGGAATGTCCTAGCTAAAGCTTCCAAGACTAACTAGGTGCTTGAATTACTCAACTTAAGTGTGAATGGAAGAGATGAAGAGAAGATTGAACAAGAGGCCAAGAGGAGAAAGAGAGACAGACAAAGACACACCATGACAACATCACTGTCACTTACATTTTCCTCTACTTGGGCATAAAAAAATTGTTTCTAAAAGAAATAACAAAAAATTAGCTCCTGTGTGCTGATTTCTAGCCATACAATGAATTAATTACTGTACATATGTAAGCTCATTTATCTTCACCATCCTAATGACACAGGTGTTACTATTCCCATCCCAAAGACCAAGACCCGAAAAGGTACAGATATTGGCCCAGTCTCATACAACTAATATGTGACAATGTAAGGATTCTAATATCTTATGACTTGACCAAAAAAGCATTCTCATATGTCAATATCTTTTATTATCATTTTCTCATCTGTAAAGTAGAAAGAATAAAACTGATCACCCCTAAGAGCTGTCAAGTGAAAATCAATAAAATCAAAGGAAAATATTATAAAATATAAAGTACTGTTAATGTTCACACAGAGACGCTGTGTCAATTGATGGTTTAGTGTAAAACTATATTAACCTCCCATTTAACAGTATGCAGTCATGGCTTAATGAAATCTTGGCTTTCGTTTTTGTTTTTCTTTTTTCAGCCTATTTCAACTAAACCTTTACTTTTGAACTCAAACCTTCAGAGGGTCTTGCATGAAACTATGACACCTTGTCAACCAACAAGAGCTTGACCTGAGAAGCCCCTCGCAGTGACACCAGTTTATCCGCCAGTGGCATCTCTACCCCCACCTCCAGCTTTTCACCTGCTCCGCTCTGAAGTGAGACATTTCAAAGTACAGCTTAGTACTCTCCTGGATTTTCTGTCCCTAGTCCTCCTTTTAGGAGCAGAAGCAAGGGAATGTTTATAAGGGAAATATTAACACCATTTTGTTAATTTCATGAACCTCTGGAGAATATTTTCCCTCACCAGTATTTTGCTTCCAAAGACTTCACACAGAAGAATCAAGGCTTGTGCTGTTGTTAAGCTAATGACTGTATTTCTTAATCCCTTGAGAAATGCCTTCAGCATCCTTTTAGCTGACAAACTTATGTTATTCAATTTATGGCAACAGTAAACAACTCTGAATTCTGAAATAAACTTATATTCTAGCAGAGTTTTAAAAATACACAGGTATTAAACTTATTTTTAAAATTCTACCAATTTATCCTTTGGGATGATTTTGAGATGGGAACAGTGGTAGAAAGAGCACCTCTTAAATTTTTGTTGAGGTTAACATTAAAACTTTTTATATTTTTTGAATAAATACCAACTTACTAAAAGAGTCTAGAAATAATAGTAAAGAATCTAATTTGGGAACAACCTATACTTACGAAATTATAACAGAAAAATCACAAGGTGGACAAGTTACTTATTGATAATTTAGAGTTGAGTTTGTTTTTCCCTGCCTCCCTACCTGCCCAGAAATACCTCAACCACTAAATTTATGTGAAAGCTAGAAATTGGGACTGAGTTAATGCTATTTCTTCCCTAGAAAAATGTTCTGTTTCAATTGCATTTCAATGTACTTTTTATACAACTTACACAATCACATATATTTTTTCATTAGCTATTTCTCTGTTATAAAATCTAGCATGACTTCTTACAGTGACTAGTGTAAAACCCCTTCACCTTATTCATATGACAGACCTCTTTTTCTTGAACCAGATCTGCCTCTCAGGGTCACTTGCCACCTACCTCCACATCCTAACCCTGTATTTCTGCTCATAGTACTCCCTTGTTGCAGGTGATCTGTCTGCATGCCACTTGCTTAAAGATTTGGAACTCCTGCCAAGAGACTTGTTTTTTATTCTGGGGATTGAATTCAGGGCCTTTACACTGAGCCACCTCCTCAATTTTTTCCTTATTTTTTAATTTTGAGGCAGGGCCTCCATAACTTGCCACAGGCAGAAATTTGCAGCCCTTCTGCCTCAGGTACCCAGAGTGCTGCTGAGAGATTTTTCTAAATTAATTTCTGTGTATTGTGATAAATCCCTTACTATGTGCTAATTTGGGGGATCAGAGGGAGGATACAACATTCAGTTAAGTGCTAAAAGCTTTTACTTCTATTTTAGAAATACGCTCTAAAATAGTATCTCGGCTACATGCTACTTTACGGTTCTATAATATTAATATAACAGCAAAATTTGCTGAGCACATACTGTGTACCAGTTACAATGCTAAGTACTTGGCATGTACAAGCTTATTTAACCCTTACAAGCCCAGGGGGCAACTACTTCAGGGTTACAGAGCTAGTGAGCTGGGAGCCAGCATTTGAATGTCTGAGTTTGCATTGCAAACCTGGTAGTAGCCACTGCACCCTCCCTCCCCCATGATTAAGACTACTATGCCTTCCCTTAGTCCACTTGATTAATGTCTTTAAATTATTCATGCAAAGTGGTTACAAAAACAATACATATATATGTGTGTGTACATAAACAATATGTATTTTAAGGTTTTTTCTAATTTAAATACTGAAACATTTTAACTTGCGAGTCATTTTATAATATGCTGCTAAGCATCTCATAGAAAAATCCTAAGTCCTTTATCATTCCTACTATACTGTCTTCTATACATGTAATATATGTAGCAAATGCTGAATAAATACATAGCTGAAAGAAGCAATAAGTGGTTTCATTAATTGAAGAACTAAAAACACTGCATAACATTACATAACCAATGGTTTATGATAAAATCAAGGAATAAAGGGCCTTGACTTCAGTAGCCACTTTGATCCACATCTCTTCAAACTGTTGACTTCATTTGTCTTTTTCTTTTTACATGGGTTCCCAGTTTAAAATAAAACAGTGTTATCAAGAAACTGAGCATTAATTATGTAAAGACTGTTAACAAAGTTCCTAAGAGTTAACAAATCTCAGATGTATTTTCATTTTGGCTAAAAAGTACTACTAACTCATTGGTAAATACTACCCCCAAGTTAGAGGAAAATATGAAGTCTAGCATATATTTCTGTAAAGTTTGGTAGATCTGAGGTGGGGTGGAGGTTTTACTGGAGATTGAATCCAAGGCCTGAACCATGTGCTCTGCTGCTGGGATATACCTCCAGCCCATGGTTAGCAGCTATTTAATTCAAACTAACTCTCTTTATTTTGACATTATTATCTAGATAATTCTATTAAAAATTAAAAATTATGGGTAGCAATTTTCTCTGTAATTTAGCAACACGTGATTGGCATTTTGTTTATGCTAAATAATTTAACTGTTGTTTTGTTAAACTTACAGAAATAAGTTCAAGGAAAGGATGTTTTTCTTGATATTTGACTCAATAAGCACTTTATATTTTGAGAATAACCCTTTTTTATGGGTACTTTGATAAGTTCTGCTTTATTGTTTTACAAAGTCAGTAAATCATTTCAGAGTGAGTAAAGACCAGTAATACTGGATCCATAATATTGATCTTTCCTAATTTACGTCTATATGATTCCTTCCAAAATAAATAAACAAATCAGTTCTTTTCTGAAGCTGTGCATTTTTTTATAATGTGTGTCTTGAAAGGTACACATATTATACCCCATTAATATGTCATTAACGGGTCAAAGCAACCTAATCTAGAGTCACAGGTGTTTTCATTATTTAGTTTCAACATTTCATTAATGAAGATACCTTCAGAGACACTCACGGTAATGCACCTTTTAAAATTTCAACCCTTTGTTCAAGGAAATTTCCAATAAAAGTCAAAATCAAACAGGGATCACTAGATAACACATTCTGTCTTGCTCTTTTATTCATGGAAGGAAAAAAGATATAATGCAATTATTATGTTCTATTCATCAAGAGAGAGTAATTGAAAAAAATAGCAAGAAAGAGGAATTAAACGTGTATTTACCTGAAGTAGCCATATGGGTAGCAGTGCTGTCCGAAGAAGTAACTGGAATACATTCTGTTTTTTCACATCCAGTTTTTGTCTGTGAAAGAAAGTGAGGAACATGCGACGTCATTTTCCAAAGTAGGTCAAAGACCAGACTAGACGTTCACACTCCCATAAAAAGAATGGTTAAAGAGATTAAAGCGATATCCCAGAAATACAAATCCTCTAAAATTTTGGTACAATCATCTTCAAATAAAGCATTTCAGAATTAAAGGTCAGAACTACTTTCAGCTCTACTGTGTCCTAGGATAACAAAAGATAAGGCCAAGTACCTTGTTTTTCAAAGACATCATAAATCTAAATGACAAAGTGTAAGAAGCCAACAGAAAACCTTATACCCTATCTCTGAACAGTATGTATCAAATTACTCTTAAAGAATTTATTCCATTGCCTGAAAGCAGTTTCCTGCATTATCTTATAACTAGCACACATTTAAAGAATATATACTCTATTTTATAAATAACTTTTAGGACAATATAGCTCTTGGAATTGGTTGTATTATTTTGATATTAGAAATTCCCATTTTTTATAACTACAATAGAGAAAACTGTTTACTAGTGTACACACATGAAGGCAATAGCCACCTTGACTAGGGGTTAGGATTAGCTTCATTGTATAGTAAACAAGCTAAGGTGTGGGGTGGGGAACAGTCGCCTAGCATTTATCAGGCAGAAAATAAAAATGATAATTAACTGGTCCATGTTAGAGACTACCTGAAACTAAATATTATGTTCTTATAGTTCTGAGTGATGTGTTGTATCCTCATGGTAGCACTTTGCCATGATAATACTGTCTAACTGATTATACTTCTAGACATAGAATACTTTGGTCTGAAAAATTATGATTATTGACAATGCAACATAAAAGTCTAAACCAGGAAAAAAAAAAAAAGAAACCTTCCAAGGAAATATTAACCTGTTAACAGAGTTCCTGAAATTATAGTTCTGTATCTATTTCACCATCAGAAAAAAAAAAAAAAAACACAGAAGGAATTTATGGATTGAAGCTATAAACAGAAAATTTTAAAACTACCTGATTCATCTTCGAAGAAAGTAAGATGGCATCTTGAATTTTGGGAGTGGATGAGGTCTGTGGAACTAGTGTTTTCAGGGGAGAAGAAAGAAGACTAAATGTGGAGGCCTGAGGTCCATATTCTCTTGAAGTTTGTAACAGGGATGAAGAAGACAGATTTTCTAGATGGTTGCCAGGAGACGTTTGTCTTATGAATGCTATCTCCCAAGTAGATTTGGACCTAACATTAAAAAGAAATCACTTTATTGATATGCAGTGGCTATAGAACAACTGAATTCTAAAATCAGTTTTCAAATGTTATTAAAAATATTTCTCTCGAGCCCTAAAGAATTTAAGGTATCTTAAATTACTATTTTTAATAAGACATGCTAAATGACTCATTCTATCTTAGATATAGAACCGTTACCTCCACTTGGCTTTGCTAATTATGCTTTTTGCTTCTTCAAATGACACACCAATCATAGATTCCTTGTTTACTGAGACAAGCTGATCTCCTGGCATCAAACGTCCATCCTAACAAAAAATGTTAAAAGCAACATTTACAAACAAATGAATGGGACTAGGGGCAGAGAGAACAACAGCTGCACCAGCAAACAGCCGAGTCTGGGAACCTGCGCCATGTGCAGGCTATGCTGAACTGGAAATGGCTAGACCCCAGCCCCTTCTGGTACGTGGGCTGGCAAACAAGAAGTACCAATACCCTAACACCTCGCCCCCCCAGTAAGTGACCCGATGATCTAGCGAAGCACAGGCTGTGATGATAGCTATGGAGGTGAAGTGCAATTGGATGCCTTTGATGCTTTGGTGTTACACCAACATTGCAGGTCTAGGGCTGGTGTTCTAATCACAGGTTCAGAGGACAGTGGTACTCAGTGTAGCATCTAGGGGGCATCTTCTTCTGAGGGTTTCAGCCATTTTTGATTCCCTATGGTCCTGTTCTGAGGTCCTATATCATTTCCATTATTCTGTTGGGTTGGGTTTTATATTCTTTTATTTTGTTTGATTACGTTAACTCCAATGGCAGGAGAAACTATTTCAAGTATAGCAAGATACATTATGGTAGCAATTTTGGTTTGCTATTGGCTTGTCTGGAAGTCCTTAATTGCATTCATCACTTTGTTTTTGTTTTTTTTTTTTCTATTTTATTTTGTTCTGTTTGATTTTTACTATGTCTGAAGTTATTTGCAGCTGTTTTGAAGACATCAAGGGGCATTACGGTAACTATTGCTGATTTCATAATGTTTTAAAGTCCTGTATCTCTTACACTGTTTTGTTTTAATTGGTTTCATTCTGCTTTATCCTCTTAAAATTAAAAAAAAAATTAAAAGTGTTTTATTTTAAATTGCTTGTATGCAATTAAGGCAAAAAATGTTTTGGGGAAGAATGTCTTAAGTGAAAACAAAAACTTAGAAAGTCTGAATAATAAAATGTTTTGAGCACACTCTAGAGATCGGCAATATACATAAATGAAAGTACATGGCTCGTGTAGCCCACAAATAAATCTGCAGGTTAAGGAACACTGTTTATGTTGGGAGACAGGCCTTATAGCAAGAATGGGAACCTGTCTCAAAAGTTCAGCACTACCAAATTGGTAAAGCTTTGACTCTGTGATAAGCGAGCCAAATACTCAGGAGACATTTCAGACTATGAGATATTTACTGTAGTTTCTGAGGATGCATGCATCTTTTCCCTTATCAAACACTGCAATGTGGATTTGGAGAATAAATGGACTCGATTTTTAAAAGTTTAGTAAAGGACCTTAACTGTACTTGATCCTACCCATGATCAAACACGGTCTTTATTGGGTATGTTGTCTCTCCTGTCATGAGGCCTAGATGGCTTGTGCCATATCTTGCTAAAAACAACCAATTTTAACTGGCTGCCTGGCATTGTCTTTATTCAGTCCTGACTCTGCTCATAACTAGCCTGATAGGAATAAGGCAAGAATTTCAGTCACTTTTTTTTCTCCAATCGAAAAAAAAAAAAAAAAAAAAAAAAGCCCTTTTCTTTTTCAGTTCCTAAAATATTTCTCTATGTATCAGCAGCATAAAGACAGAAAGTACTATTTCAATAACCATGGACAAAGCTTCTGTAGTGCTATGGTTTGGATCATGAGTGTCTCCCAAAGACCATGCCTGATCCCCAGCTTTGCACTGTCACAATAAAATGGGAATTTTGTGGCAGGGCCGAGTGGGAGGTCACGGGGTCCCTTGAAGGAGAACCTAGACCCTGCTTTCCATCTCTCTTTTGCTGCTGTGCCACAAAGGGACGGCTTTTGCCCCAAATGTCCCACACGGATTGCCACCTAAGTCCAAGGCCACAAGCCATCTGGCAATGCACTGCCATCTCTAAAACTATGAAACCAGACAAATCCTCCCTTACTGAGCTGATGACTACAGGTCCTGGGTAGAGTGACAGAAGGCTGATGAATATGTAAGGTTAACAAGCTAGATTTTTCATTGTGATAGTATTGAAATAACTTGGACAATGCAAAGAAACATTTTACTTTACTTAAACTCTTCTCTGCTAAAATATAGCCCTGAAATAATCCAGCTTTGACCTGACCTGCATTACTTATAAAATGGTGATTTATGGCAATTTTATTCCTAAATAAGATACTTTTATATTTTTTTTAAAAAAGGATGGATGCCAGTAGATAGTATTATCTGTTCTACTGACTTATGAATACAAAGGAAAGTTAAATAAATATGAACTATTCATTAAAATATTTTTAGAAGCATATTATTTCAAATACTGTATAAAAGATTTACAGTCCCAAGGCACAATGCCACTTGAATCTTTCTGAAATAAAAGCATTTTTAAAAATTCAACCAGCTTAGTGGTAGTACATGCCTATAATCCCAGCACTTGGGAGGCTCAGACATGAAGATTATCTTGAGTTTGAGGCTAGCATGGGCTACATAATGAATTCAAGGCCTAACTACACAGTAAGACTTTGTCTAAAGGCAGAAAGACAAACAAAACTTCAATCAAAAAAGGCAATTTGACTTTAAAGTATATAAAATCTGAAAATTAATTTGGATTTTCCATAAATATATGATTAAACATAACTCAGATGGACAGACCACATAACACACAGTATTAAGTCATTAAGTGAAAAGTCACTGATTTCTTCACATCTGGCAAATATACAGGGAGAAATATACAGTAATAATCCTAAAAAACCTAATATGGAGAAAGTGTCTAACATGGAACTTTCTTTGCTGTTCAGTATACCAGGAAGGTTAACTGTCTAAGGTTTTATCATCACAGTTTTGCACCGAGCGGGCCCAGGTGTTATCCGTCACTCAATACATTCGTTAGTCATTTATCCTATATACACTGCAGTGTTTAAGTCCACTCACCTGTAATTTAATACTCTCCTTCTTACTTTAAGGATATCCATTCATGGAAGGCTCAGATGGAATAATCATAAAGGCTAACAATAACCAGGGAGAAATAAATACAATTCTAGAAAGGGTCCGTTCTTTGGGAGTGAGGTGGCGGAATGCGGTGAGGCAAAGCACAGACTGTCTCAGTAATGGTTCACTTTTCTCTCTCTCATCGAGTTGGTCTCCATGGATTCATGGGTGTTCATTTTATTACGTTTCGTAAGTTGTTAAATTCAGCTCTAACTCAAGGGAATCCGAAAAATAATTCCTTTTTAGAATCATATTGATAAAACAGATTTTAAAATGAAATTTAATGGTGCTTTTGTATACCAAAACTTGCCTGACAAAAATTTGGGTGGGTGGGTGGGTGGATCGGGGGAATAAACTACATATGTAACTTGATCAAAGCATTTAAAAGACACCAAGAGAGAAAGTTTCTTTTAGAATTGTGGTATAAGACAGTAATAGAATTTTTCAATATAAATATTCTCAGTGTTAATAATTATTTTCTTTTGTTAACTTTACTTGAAAAGAGAAAACTCCACAACGACTATTACCTGCATGGCAACTATCTTCTATTGGAGTAGAAGCCTTTTGAAATGATAGACTGAAGCAGAAAAGCATAAGGCTTGGCAATCAGAGGTCTGAATTTGAATTTCAGCAAACTTGTGCAAAGTAGTAGCTAGACCTTCCTAAACAATGAGAAGGAAGGTGAAATCTTGCTTGCTGTGGACTCAGAACTAAATTCTAAATTATATGGTGAGAGTTCCCATATTGATCAATCTTACAGAAATCACTGTTGTCTGGTTTGCAGAGAAAAAGGTTAAAAAAAACAGATGAAGGTTAGGCTGACCTACAGCCTTCAACGTCCTCCCCTCAAGGTCATCCAGTATTAACAGTGTAGAGGAAAAGCTTTCATGAAGACCTGCTGCAGCCTATCTTCCATTAGATTAGCCTAACGTACTAAAGTGGCATTTGCTATCAGCATAAGAATCAGAGAAGGAAGATGCATTCTGGCTGTGATTTCTGGTGTTTATGTACTTTGTCACTTTCTAAAAAGTATTTACAGCAGTTAGTCCCCCAGCCCTTGCCTCCCAGAATAAGATCTTAAAGGATCATGTGAATTTCTGAACTCGCTGAAAAGTCAGAACCTGTAAATGAAAACAAAGCTATTTCAGGATAAGTCTGGCATTCTAAAGCAGTGACTTCTTCCCCAGCTAGATTAATGTATACGTGAAGATGCTGAATGTGGGGTGTGCTGAGGCCTCTCCAACCGTCTGGGTTGAGACTCAGTAGTGACTGAGCAATTGCGTAGCAGTACAGGCCGTGTGCCAAGGCTGAACCTCAGAGGCTGAACTCACTGGCACTCACCTACAGTTGCAGTAAGAATGGATTCCTAACCACTGACTCATAAATACTTCTGTTTAACAGCTACTGGCGTTGTTCATATCCAATTATGACGGTATCACATAGTTTACTAATACTAAATAACATATTGTCAGATTATCAGTAACCATCTACACAGCCTGAGTCAGCTTTAACTAACTCATTAGTCCTAAAAGGAATGCTCCTCTACGAGCCTTTGGATTCCTTTCTCATACTTTCACTAACTGTAGACCGAAGGTGTTCTTTAATTCCATTCATTAATATTGATTGAGCAATTGGTACGTGCCGTGCACCACACTAAGGAAATTATATGAATAAAATTAGAATCCTTGCCCTTAGGAAACATACCTTCTTGTGTTCAGCACAGATACATGTGATAAAAATAACCACAGATATATACGTGTCATTACAAACTGACATAGTTTTGGAATAGGATGGAAAGGAAAGGGAAAGGACCTAGGAATACATATAGGAAAAATAAAGCTAGGTCTTATTAGAGAAGAGAACAAGGATTGCATCCTTTAGGAAGAAGACATTGAACTGATACCTGGAAATGATGGAGTAGGAAGAGGGTGCTGTTCTCAGTCTAACAGAAGCAGACATAAAGACGAGGAATAATTTGGCCCCTTTTAGCAAATGAAAAAAATGCTAGTTTAAAAAAATAAAAATTAAAAAAAATGCTAGTTTGAAGGTGTTAGTTTAATGACAAAGAGGCAGATTAGTAATCTTTAGAAT